TAAGGGAATCAAGTCTTATGTTGTTTTAAATTACGTTATCCAAACAAATCAGAATAAATAGCTGTTACAATTCTGGGATACGAACCAAGACTCTGTTAGAGATCTTAAAGGTTTTAAATCTGAAATTCTCTCGAGAAGTTGATATGCAAGCCTAAATCAATCTTTAGCTTGTTTATTGCTTAAGTTTCCAAACGAGAAATTTCAATCGCATATAAATGTTCTAGTGTTCTTTCTTTGATTTCAATCTTCAATTATTTTGATGAAAATGAACCTGACATCCTTGAGCGATGATCAACCTCCAAGCCGTTTGATTGCCCGTGTCTTGCCGAGTTCCTCGTCAGCTTCCTTAGTGGCCAGGTGAGGACGAATGCAGTTCCAGACATCACATCAAATATTTGGCTTGAGTAGTTGATCCAATTATGGATTTCTCAGGTGTCATGTCCATCCGAGTTTTCACTGTTGCTGCCGCAGGATCAAAATAACTCAACGTTGAAACGGATGTTCATTTTCTGGTGACGAATGTCTTTATTTGACTTAACGATTGTCAAAACAAAGTAACAGTGATGAACAGTGCCGTGAAAACTGTGAACATAAAAAGTATAAAATAGCACAGAATAATAAATACCGTGCGAAAGATACAAATATATGTACACAAGTAAATATACAGATTACTTGTCAATTTAAAGAGTTGATAAACCAGATAGATGTTCTTAACGAGAGTTGTTCATACAGATATGATTTGTCAGAATGAGTATAAAAAGGGTTCATGATAAAACATTTATGATATGAGCTACAAGTCTCTTACGAGAAATTTGATAAACATGCATTAAGAGCATACTAGTTAAGACTATGAATATAAAAGCAAGTTTTATATGCTACTGATTTACAGAGAATTCTTATTCATGAATAATTACTCAAACATGAAATATTCAAATGGCTTTCCATAATTTAGCGTTAGATGTAAACAATCTCACGTGTGTGGAAAACTAGCTCACTGAACGCTACTAATCACAACATGAAAAAACACTTATAATGTATCAAAATTACAAACTGATAGATCATGTAAGTAATATGAAATTGTTCTAAATACATTTCTGCAATAACATACCTCGTTGGCAGGACTTTTCCATCCTTGGGCAGCAAAATATACCTTGAAACTTTGGCGTTTCTTGAAGACCCCACAAAACACATATTGCTTGGGCCAGGTCGTAATTCAGAAAAGCCAAGGGTCAACGCGTTCACCGAACTTATCGGCACACGGATATCAAATAATTTGTCCAACTGGAATTTTACTTAAAACGACCAACGATTTAGTTTTGACAGAATTTACTAATGTTATTCGCATTTCAATGAACATTACTTTACATTTCAGTACATAATTAATGATAATAACTTATTTCTTATGCTTGAATGTATGGAACTATTTTCTCGTGCGTACTAAAAATGTGTTTGTAGGCCTTTTATTGACATTGACCCGCGCTAGGCATGCGCTGTAAATCTTTCTTAAGTAACAAAGAGAAATTACTTAAAGGGCGATGCACATGTAAAATAGGTGGTGCTATGAACAAAAATTAAAAATACTAATGACAAATTCTGGCGGCAGCCACACTGCTGGCACCAGTCATTTCGATGGCGTGGGTTCGAATCCCACCGCTGCCACCAGTTGTAAAGTCCCACACAAAACAAAAGTGGTCTCACATGGTTGAGGACTTGAGCTGCACTATCAGATTTTATTCCAACCACAAAATGGCTGCCAAGATGGCTGACATCCAGTCCATCAAACAATAATAACCAATCACAAGATTGGACAATAAATAGGTAACCAATAGAAAAGCTTGTAAAAGATAGAGTGCCATGTGCCATGTGTGCTGGGTTGAATAGCTAAGAGATAAGGAAGAGTGTGTGTGTGTGTGTGGTGCTATAGCAGGTAATGTGCATGAGGATGAATGAATAGGGACAGAACAATAGAAGCCAAGAGCTAGCAGACATGAGAGAATGAATGTAGGTCAGGAGTGCGCTAAAGCATATCGGAGTGGAAAGCTAAATGTACAGTGTAAAATAAACAAGTAACCACTTGGATCAGTGAAATTAAAACCTTACAGTAGTCTCAGTGGAACAACCGACGATTAGAGAGACTGAAGTTTTCGGTCTATGACATGACATGTACATGTACTTTATCTTCATGATCTTGCACACTAAAAATACAGGTGCTTGTTCAGAAATCTATCCAAAATTTGACCCGTAACTCCAGTGTGGCCGTGGAGATACCGTAGATCTACCCAAAATGAAGTCAATATTCATCAAATGTCCGAATAAAGATCATGATTAATAGGGTCTAGATCTAGACTTTAGACTAGGCACATTCATGGGGCACTAGAGGGCGCTTTGCGCCCGTACGAAAATCTGAATGGCCTTGCTGCGGTGGGTCGGCAATAATCAGCCCAAAACTTGGATATGGGAGGGTGGAAGGATATATCTTTTTTATAATGTTATCCGGTCTTACCCTTAACCATCCTAGTCTATGTTTAATCTATGTAGAAATAACATGCGAGTATGATAAGAGAAACATCGGGACCATTACTGAAGTAACTTTTTAAATATTAGCCTAGAAATGACCACCAAACGGAAAAAAATTGACATTTTTTCCCGACAAATCTTCATAAAATCTGAGTTATAAACAAGTCACATCTAGGTACACTATAGACCGAAAGCTTCAGTCTCTCTAATCGTCGGTTGTTCCACTGAGACTACGTCTGGCTCCACTAGACCTCCGATTATAGAGACTGAAGTATGGCCTATCCGGGACTGTACGAGACTGTACGGAACAAATGGTTCGGTTCGACCGGACCGCGATGAATGAGATATGCAACAAGATTTTCAATCTTTACATCCTCATAACTGCTGCAATTATAATAAAAATTAAAAATAACATATATATAGCTTATTTGAATTAGGATAGCTTGCTGATTTAGATCCTAAATTAATGATTAATCCGAGAAAGTCTCGTCGTCAACATTATCCGTCTTGGTTTTAGTTGATGAATATTCATTTTTTCTTTTCGAACGTCCAATAGCTACCGTACCTACGTACGAGTCAGCCCGGCTTGACCAACGAACTCCCACAAAACGAGTGCTCTGATTGGCCATTTGGCTATGTTTTGGTAGGTTGACCCGGAAATATTTTGGCCGCCGGGTCATATAGCCCTATGTTTGAGTGCATGAACGTACTGTTTCACAGTTCAGACATACAAGTTGGATAATTCATATAAGTAAGGCCGTAAATTATACATTTAATATTAAGTTATCAGATTTGGATAACTGCAATTAGGACAAGTGACATGCCGACCTAATTTACATCTGATTTAGAAATCAGAAAATTAGATCTAAATAAGAAAATCGGGAAGAAAATGTCGTGAACGAAAAGATGTTCATAGCCACCCCCACGGTACGAGATCTCTGGATTACCATCTGTATTGGGGAATGACAACAAATGTCAGTTTTATTAAAGAAATGACCCAAATCAGATGGTTATTTCTGTCTAGGTACACTAATACAAATACGATTTTCTGAAAATTCAGGTAGACCCTATGATTTTTTAAGTTTCTTTCAAGTATATTTCTGCGCATTGCAACGCCAATATTCTTCACTGCTTCAAAATCACCCTTGAATTTTTTTTTTTGCAACGAATTCGATACGAGGTCCGCGAGTGTTCCCCGTTCCTTGCGTGTTGAAAGTTTGGTAATAATACATAGTTTGCATTGACTCGCGCACGAAAAAATGGTCGAAAACGAAATGTCAAATGAAGAAATAAACAAGCTTTTGTATAGTTATAAGAGTTCTACCGAGGTTTCTTTGTCGATTTAATTTATTATATAGTCTCAATTAGAATTCAGAATTATCTCACTGAAAAGTTAAGAAACCGACGATGTTCTCGATCGTAGTTATTTTCATTTTGCCAGCAGCCGATCTAGCGGTGTTTGGGCAAAAAGCTAGGCCGCAGCCTTCCCACCTCGAACCTTTCCGAGTCCCGCTAAAATGGCGCTCTGCGGAGCTCCGAAGCTGCGTTGGAATCGCTGCAAACTCTCAGCCGGCCAGCTCCCCCCGACGGACCATTCGCGGTATGGCGAGAGTGTGTGTGTGAGGTATGATTTTGGATTCGAGAACGCGCGTCATCTTCAGCTGTCAAATGCATACGACCAATTTTACATGTACGATTTTTAGTACAGATACTTGGTCAGTTTTCTTCTTATATCTTTGGTTTTACAACATTTAAAAATATAATTTCTTCAAATTTGCTCCTGACTCGGTTCAGACTAATTGTCTGATGTGTTTTCAAGTCAATTTTTTGAATATATTTGTTTGCGTGAATTTGCCTATTTAGACCTAATAAAAGTTTTTGTTTCTGGCGCTTGTTCAGAAGCCTATCCAAAATTTGGCATGTATCTCCACTAAAACATACCCAAAATGAAGTAAATATTCATCAAACGTTTTAATAAAGATCATGAGATAAAAGTTATGCTTATAACCTGTTTCGTGTCAATTTTCTTGTTATTTTTGGAGTATTTTTCGGAAAAACATTGATAATAGTATACACTTTTTTCACAGGTTTCATGGCAAACCGCTGCACAATACAACTTACAAGTGCATACTGATGGTGGGTTGCGGGCAAGTGCATGCCTGCGCTGGGTGAAGTTATCTACCGTAATGAGGAAGGAGGATATGGCGGTAGATAACTTTGCACAGGCGCGTGCCCGCCCGCAACCCACCATCACTCAGTATGCACTTGTATATTGTGCCCCCAAATTTTTGTCTTTTGATGTCAGGGGCCCATTGGTTTTGTGGGTGGATCATAACAAAAACTTATCAAAACAAAAGTAGGTCTAGGATTATGAATTTTTAAAGTACCGGTAGACAGTCAAAAATGGTAATTTTTCATGGTTTTGCTCGTATTTTGGATTGCTTTCTTAGTTCAAACATGTTTTGTAACCCTTTCTTTTTCAGATAATGGCTTCAAGAAAGACTCCCAAGAAGACTCCAAGGAAAAGCAGGCGGGATAGCTGGGTAGCAATAACGGCAGAGCATGTGTTTGCAGAATATGAAAAGGTAAAAATCATCAAAAATAAAATAATATAGACTAGTACCAATGGGCTTTAAATCTTCTTTCTTTTATTATCAGCTCTTTTGATTGTGTTTTGCTCGACTCATATTTTAGGGTCATTTTACAAGTGCTATCTCTGAAGTGATATAGAAAACTAAACAATTATTGTGTATATTTAAATCTGATTTATAAATTTCATTGATAATATAATATTGCCATTTGTTTTTAGTAAAATAGAAATTTGATAATTAACATTTTTACAGGTTTATTGCAACAATAACTGAGTAGGTAGTCCCTGTATCCCCTGACATGTTACCTCATTATTCAATTAAAACATGTCTTTTCTTTCTTTTCCATGATCATTTTCAGGGAAATACTGTGCCATACAAAAATGTCTTGGACAAGCTTCCTGATCCTACTACAGGGGTAAGTAAGAGAATAAATACATTTTTGTTGTAAAGGAAAGAAATGAAGAAGAAAAACTGAGTGAAAGTTAGCTTTCAAACCTTTTGGAAAGGATTTATGAATCTTGAGTTTGTTAACCCAGAGCACTGACATCTACATGTAACATTGTATTTTGTAATATTTAAAATAAACTTGAGGTCTGGTAAAAAAAAGAAAAAATGAATTCTCCAGGCCTGATAAAAACCCGATTTAAATCGGTTTCCCGATTTTTTTTTTCTTCCCGATTTAAAAAAATATATTAAAAAAAAAAAAATCCAGATTTTTTTTTTTTTTTTTTTTTTTTTTTACCAAATCTTTTTCTTCCCTATTTTATCCTGATTTTCCCGATTTTCCTATAATTTTCTCAATTCTTCCCTATTTTGCCCTTTTTTTCCCCAATTTTCTTACTCGAAAGGGGGGAATGTTGTTGGATGCCATTTTTTTCCTCGCGAATCCTCTTCTTTCTTTTTTTTACTCAAGGGGGGCGTGGTTGAGGTGAAAACAAAAAAACTTTTTTTTTTTTAGTGCTCACTATCACCCCTGATTCTCACAGAATCAACAAAACTTACACTGAATGTTCAAGATTACAAATAAATGTCATTGCCAAACAATTTTGGTAGAAAATGTATACTGGCTGAGTATTGTAATGAGCATACAGAGATAAGGAAATGAAGGTAAGTAGGCCTGACACCATCTGTGTAGTCCCATATACAGTTTTCTGTGTACGGTGCTTATTACTTTACCAAGACTGGGCCAAATTTATTATGATTTTGGTGGCTCCAGAACCTTGCAGTACACACCAATACTTACATGCTACATGATCAACTTTTTCTGATCCATTCCACACCTTTTCTTTCACAATGCAATCGCATGACTAAACTCAACTTAACCTTTAATATTTTTTTTATTCCAACTTTTTATCTAATGTTTCTGAACAGGCAGAAGAGTTGACCCATTTATTATGTCAGCTACAGGGGTGTGTTTCCAGACTAGCAAGTGAACATGAGGCCCTCGTCAGGGCAATACTGGTAAGTTGAAGCACACATTATGTTGAAAAGATCATCAATAAAGGGATGGGGCTCCTCCATAACTTTTTTGGAGGGGGTCTAGATTGAACTTTTTAGAGTCTTTATGCCTGAACCCTATGTCAAAATTTGGAAATTTGGGAGGGGTCTGGACTCACAGGCGCCCATGTGTCCTGGTTGCATTTTAGTGTGTCAAGCTAGTTGTGTGTGTGTGGAGGGGGGGGGGAGGGGATTGAAAGAGAAATTTGAATGTAGCATTGTAACAGTGATCTTGTATTGTTCTGATGAAAGCATAGATATTGATGGATATTTCTACAATCCGTCCAGGATTTCATGTATTTATGCATTTATATCTTTAAGTCATTTTGGAGTCAAACTTTTTTTTTTTTTAATTTGTCAAAATGTCAAGGTTTATTTGTAAGAAAAAATGGGAAATAGCATTTTTTTTAAAATAATTCCTCTACTGTTGGCTGTGCATGTTACAATACCAGCAAGCATTTGCTACACGATAACTTGTTTCAGAGCCTACTTGTCTGGTGAGGCCTGAAATGAGAAGTTACATTTTGTGCATGAAAGTTACAGGGGTTGTACGACACATGCTCTTGTGACAATTGCCCTATGGTCAGTGTCATACATTTACAGAATTGCTTCAACTTCAAGCCTGGACCCAACCTACACTTAACCTACATCAAAATTGCAACCTTAACCCTAACCCCTTATCTTTATGTCAACGCAAATGTCGGACATCTGTATTTATCAATATTGAAATACATTTTACCTTGTCTTATCCAGCGTGTAGACTGGGTGGAGCGAGATGCAATTGTCAGAGGTCACTACCAAGCCTTGTTGGTCAACTTTGTGTCGGCTCAACCCATCTATCTGACCAGGGTACTGACCACCCTTGTGCGTCACTTCAATCCACAAAATCCTGTACCACCTCCAGGTAAGATGGTGTTTGTTTGTTTGTTTGTTTGTAGTCAAATATGGTTATTTATGACAGATCCACTAACTTAAATAGACGTTGATTAATTTAGTGGTGTAATGGTTAGTTGTAGATATATGTTGTGGTATTGTGGTTCATTCACTTGACTCTTAAATCCAAAGGTTGCGGGTTCGGATCTCGGCCCAGCAGTTACCTCCTTTGGTAAGAAAGTAATTTAAATTTGTCACTCTCCACCCAGGTGTAATAATAATTACAGGGCTTCATGAAGAACAGCATTTAAGCTGCCTAGGCTTCCCAGCATAAAAATAATTCTAATCATTAGTGCTGTCGTTGACAGGCGTTCTGTCGATGAGCTTGTCAACAAAATTGTATTTTGAAGGGAACACAACATGTCAACAAAGATTCAATGTTGTTGACGTAAATACATAAAGTGACATGATATGCAACAATCACTGAAAAATCAAACAAATTCATCACAAAAGTGGGGTTTGGGATTCAGAAAAATTCTTCAACAAAGTCCAACTATGAAAAAGAAGAGAAGACAGCATTTTCAAAATGTTTGAAGAGTCACAGCACAAGTATGTACCACAATTATTTTCCCCTTTAATCCCCCCCCCCCCCCCCTTATACCCATTCTCCCAACACAGATATGGGTCATTCCATTGGGTTGGGTCATAAATTGTGACATGAAGGTTCAAAATTCAGAGTTGTTGAATAATTTTTATATTGTTATATCCTGTTTTTAACACCCATTCTTCAATAGATTCCACTGAAATTGTGTGTATTCCTTCGCACACTTTCATTTAAAATGAAAAAACAGACACACCAAAAAACCAACGTTACAAGGACATCTTTTTTTTACTTGCTCAGTTATTTTCTGATCTGAAACTTTGTCACAGTCTGTACTCCACTTTTTTGTGTGTGGAAAACATTTAGATGATGGGAGCAATAGTTTAGAATACTTAAAACTTGAACACAGCAACATTATATCAATTTATAAACATGAAACAAATGAGGAACTAGCAATTTTCAGATCATGTTTTTTTCTAAAGGGTAATCTTTTCTCTTGCATAGAAAATCTTGGCTACATTCCAAGAAATGTGCTAATTAATTGATGCATGAAACATATTTAATGAGATGATAACACAATTGAAAGGAAACCTGCAAGATTTATGGTCTATATTCACCTCAACACCTCCAGTTACCAATGTTACACGGACATCATGTCCGAGTAACATCCGTATGATATTAGAGTAACATCCGTATGATATTAGAGTAACTGTCCTTTTATACTCATTGAAAAATGACAGACTACATCAAATGTCATCTGAAATATATTTCATCCCTTGATCAGTAAATTAAAAATCAGTATTCATACAAGAGGTATATTGATAGATATCAATGATCAACTTTATATCTTCTTCAAAATAGTGATTAGATTGGAAAGATCTTTGTTTTCCAGGAAGGTTTCGATGACTGGTCATTTTGCCTGCTCTCTTGATCTCTCTCTGCCGGAGCTGAATCCTCAAGGGAGGTAGAGGAGCCATGAATGATATGGATGCAGCAATCTAATAAATATGCATGAAAAGAAATAAATGAAAACCAATGAGTAAAGAATATTAAATGAGATAAAAATAAAACAAAACTGTAAATTGTTTCTGTGATTTTTCATTTCAAACGTGTGTTGTGTTTGCAATTATCAAGTACTTCTATCTAGATCTGTTGTAAAATCAAATTGTAAGAATTAAGGATGGAACAACTAGACAGAGGATTGCAAGATGGATAGGGAGGCACCATCCTCACTTTTGGCTCGTTGCATGCCAAAATAGAAGTAGGTATTATTATTGGTTGTTCATTTTAATTTTTCTTTTAAGTTTAATATTTGTGTTGAATTATAAATTTTTGTTAAAAAATTATATTTGTTATTTATCATTATTTGGAGGGGAGGGAAGGTGTTGAAACCCCTTATCCCTCACTTCAACCTTTGGATGAGGGGGAAGGGGGAGCCAGATCAATGATTATTTAATTTTTTTTTTTTTTTAAATTAAAAAAAAAAAAAAATTATATTAAAAAAAAAAAAGGCTCATTACATTATTATGTATCCAATATTAATTGAATCGGGGGGGGGGGGGGGTGCCCTCCCCCTTTAGCCTATTCTTCTCTATCTCAACCCCAACCCCCTTTTTTGCCCAAAATGTTGGTATTTCGGGTCTCAGATTGAACTTCCTAACTTGAAGGAAACAATGTTCAATAACTTGTGTTTTTCGTTAGGCTTAGCCATCATTGTTCAATGGCAATTAATTGCACCATATAAATAATATTAATTAATTTAACACTTGTCAGAAAAAATCTGAGGTGTAGGAACATCATGAATATCATTATTTACGGGATGCTTATAACAAAATTCAATTTTTGTCTAAGAAATTAGCTTTTTAAGGGGAAAAGTCCGGCATTGATTTTGCATGTTTCGTTATAACACATATATCAGTATGTGGGACAACAGTAAAATATTCACTCACACGTGATGGTTTTGAAACCGTTTTAAGCTATAAATAACACAATTTTAAACGGAATTACATTTAAACAAAATGGAATTTCATTGTCTATGATAATAATTCAGGCCATAAAAATAACTTTAAAAACAAATTACCTACCAATTTGGGCGCTGACGGGCGAAAATGGCTGCCCGACGTTATATGGACATTCTCACGTTTGTGGTTGCAGTGTAGGGGTAGGTCGTCGCAGTCCGGCAAAAAACATGTTCTACGCATTCGTGAATAACTAGCAGGTCATTTTAACACCGAAAACTGAAGCTAGCGGGCTGGTTTATATCTCAAACACCGTATTTTCACACCGACGTTACCAAATTACGAAGCACATCGCGCCCGATTTTCGCGGTAAATTAATTGTTTTCTTATATTTACCGACCAATTTAATCCTCATTCTTTCTACATATGTTCATGAGGGGTTGTACCTTCCTAATAAGATGAAACTTTGTGAGAAAATAGCTTGCTAAATTTGTGTAAAATGCTAGAATTACCGCCGTTACGAAAAAAGTGCCTAGGACATTGTTGGTAACGTCGGTATTGTGTTTTTTCAATATAAATTAACTTTCCGATTTTTTGCACATTTCACTTGAGCTTCTCAAACATAGTAGGGGTATTAAAGGTGACATGTTTTAAGTAGGAAACATTGCATTATGATGATTTTTTTTTTCAGAAATAAGTTCATGAAAATGACATGTTTTCATGTCACAACTTTCACCCTCAAAATCGCTGAGACATCGGTAGTAAAACTCACAAAAAAAAAAATATGAAGAACAAGTTTCTGTTTTCATGTTTATTTATTATGTACTACATTACTCTTCAATATAACATACTTTTATTTTTCTAAAACTCCATTTAAATTTGAGTAAATAGCTTCTAAACATTCAAACACATGAAAATGCTGAAAAGACCCAACCCGATGGAATGACCCATATCTCTTCTTGTTTCCCTGCACATGCATACAAAAATGCAAATTAATAAGCAGAGACTTTTTACCAGAACCTCCAAATCGCTAGGCCGCTGGAGCAAGCGTTGGGAGAATGGGAAAAGGGGTCTCTCACTTTCTGTCTCTGTCTCTCATTCTTTTCTTTTTTTTGGTCTGTATCCCTGCAGCTTCCAGTGCAGATGTAGATGGTGATCATCACAAGGAACAGGAAGAGAAGTTCAGAATGGTGCACTCCACCCTCCAAGAAGTTCAGAGGGTAGTTCCTTTGTAAGTATGAACGCAATCATATGTACCATTTTGGTGTTCCACATTATTATCAGTCAGTGCGACTGAGTTATGAAGAACTGAAGGGTAGTTTTATCTACTTGATTAAATTACTGTCATATTTGTCTTGTGTCATAAAGGATGTCATGTTATTTATATATTTCTTTTTCTTTCTTTTCCGCAGACTTCCCAAATATCTTCTCTCGGTCTTGGGTGATAACATGCCACATGCCAGGCAATCGTGTTACATTCAGGTGGGTTTATTTGTATGTGGATGGATTATTTTCTGGTGTTGATGCAAGTAAGTAATCATTCAAAGTGCTGTGCTGTTTTCAAAGATTTTGAGTTTTTATGCAGACAAGGTGCAGCCGAGTAGATAAAATAACACAGGAATACTAGTTTTATGTCATGTTTTTCTGGGGCTCCAGAACATGTGGAGTTCTGATATACTGTTTACAACTAAATTAGGTGCACACCTTGTAATTTGATGTGTTTGTACTTTTCATAATTCAAAAATGACAGATGAGCTGGTTGCATTGGGGCCTTTTGTTGACTACTTTTAGATATAAGCTTAAATACATTACATTCTCAAGAAACATGAATTGGGACAAATCAATTAATTGTTCACATACTTCAAAAATGTCAAAACTTGGTAATGGTGTGAATAATTGATTTGTTTACTGTATGCGTGTCCCTCATCTTATTTTAGCCCCCCCCCCCCCCCCCCCACCTGTCTCCACTCCAGGGTGTAGAGATCTCATGACCAGACACCATAAAGCTTACTCATTTAAATGTCTTTCCTCTATAGGAGTGGTACATAAGAAACCTACTTCATGTAAGTCAGTACCTACCAGAGCTCTGTAAGAATATCCTGGAAATCATCATAAACAAAATGCTGGAAGCTGATGTTCCAGATCAAATGGGCAGACACTATATAAAGCATGCTAATGTAAATGTCTTTCTCTATTCCCCATAGGAGTGGTACATAAGAAACCTGCTTCATGTTAGTCGGTACTTACCAGAGCTTTGTCAGGGTATCCTAGAGATCATCATACACAGAATGCTGGAACTAGACGTAAGTACAATCACCCTTGAGCGCCTTGTTAAGCCTCATTCAGATATTAAGCGATAAACAGCCGTGGTACATTTATGAGGCTGTAAAATAAGCAATAGGCTTAGTGAATATGCATAAAACCTTTGTTGCATGCAGTTGCACTTTTTTTAATGCAAAATGTTTTTATAAAATTAGCAAATATGGCTTTCCATAGACTTTGATATAGAGTGGTTTTGTAAAGGGCTGCTGTTGCTGTCAAAATGTGTGATCTATTAAGAACTGTCAAAAATAGGTCCGTTTTGGGCGCTACGTATCTTTTTTGTTAAACGTTAAAATTATCAATCATAGGTTTGATGATGTTGACCACTATTGCCAATAATTTGTTATGCCTTGGATTTCACAGAAACTTTTTTTAAAAAATTAATAATTTTTCCCTTTATACAGGTTGGTCTTCCCAAAGATGATGTCTGGGAACCGGATGAGAGGGAGGAAGCAGACACCCCTCAGTTTGCTATGGTAACAATGCCCTCCTCACATCTTTAGAATATCTATTAAAGTATACATGTTGCTGGATCTTGATAATTAATAGCTTTATTGAAGAACAATATTAGGATAGTTATGCTAATATAATTTACATGGATATTGGGCTTACTACAAATATTTTTAAAGTGCTGAACAATTATTTCACTAGCTTTAGTCAAGTTATCCTGTATTGTGAGTGTTCACATATTGCTCTATTATTGAAGTTGAATATAGGGAGACAAAAAAATCATACAAGGCTGTTGAGATGCAAACTTTTGTAACCATAATCCTATTGGAAGATATCTCATTTTAATTTAATTGAATGAAAAGGATGTATCATGGTTTATGAAATCATTATTCAGTTCCTATCAAGTAGTACCTGCCTTCTATCCCCACTTAGGGGAAACTGGTTGATTTGACATCAACTGTTGACATTAGTAATGGTTCACCATACATGGTGTTCTGCTGCTAGAGCGTACTATTCAAAGAGGAAGCATCCGGTTCATTTTTTTATAATGTCGGTCAGTCTTGTTCAAGTCTCTCTCTCCTTTTAAATCCTTCCATTTGGTTGTCTGACACATGCACCTACGATAATTGCACATTGGTCAAATATCCTACACTAAAAACATTCTTAAATTCAACCTCGAACCAAACACTATACCTCCCTTCCCTAATATAAATAATCTATGACAAAACAATGCCAGAGGAACTGGTGGCAGAGCAAATTTCAAATCACCTTTATCTTGCTAACATGTAGTGGTGGTTATTTTACCTGACTGCTAAGAAAGCATAAATGCTTGTTAAAAGGCAACCAGAGGACCGACGGTTGTAGGTCCTCTCTGAGAGACCTAGTAATGAGGATTAATGCCTTACCTAATTGCCGGATTACAAGACCACTACTCTACCAACTGAGCTATTGCGCCTCCCATGTAGCACTATTAAATTTCTTTAGCAGTTTTGGAATAGATTGATTAATTTGTCCGTACTTTTTTTTTTTCCAGGATGGATTGGATGATGAGAAAGTAGAATCGAGCAAAGATGACGAGGAGAAAGTAAAACTGTCCGAGAAGGCAACCAAAGTTGATACCTTGATGTGTGTCCTCATGGTCTTTCTCAAGGAATCGTGCTTCAAAAATGGTTAGTATCCTCTGTCCTTATTCAGTTCAATACTTATTTCATGAATATGAATATTTTACCCAGTTTTAATGAAATACTAAGCCAACATTGGCATTCGGTACAATCGTCTGGCTTGGCATTTTACCCTAGATTTGACTCTTATTTTGTATAACATATTGCAATGGATTGGCAAATTTTTCTTTTGTTCTCTCTTTGGTGTTGCTACAGGTGAATTTTTGTTTGAGGAAACCAAAGTGTTGCATCGTTACCTGCTTCAGGTGTTTGAGAGTGTCCTCCTACCTACTCATGCTTCCAGTCATGTGCAATTCCTTTTCTTCTACTTCTGCAGCTTCAGACAGGTAAGTGCTTGACTAAGCTGTTGATTCATCATCATCAACTAATGAAGGCTTTTGCGCTGTGACGATAACCCCTTCTTCCACTTCTTCTTGTCCCAAGCATCCTTCTCATTTAGACCAACCTTACTGCTTTCTTTTTTCTCCATATCTTTCATTATTCTCCATATCTTTCAATGAAATCTTCAGTATTCCTTTCCCCTCGTATACCATCTACTTCCAGATCTCGCGCTCTTTTCACAGGTTCATCATCTTTCCTTTTCAACACATGACTCGTCCATTTCAATCTACTTCTCTCTCTCCCACTTCCACCATAGTTTCTTTCAGATCCTTTTCATGAGCTCACTTGTTCTTTCTATTTGACAGTTTCCTACTACACATCTTCTGTATCAAGGCTCTTTCTGTTCTCCTCAAGATACCTTTTTCAACTGTCTTCACATTCCAAGTTTCTGAATAATATACCATCGTTTCCTTATAGATCTCCCCTGTTATTCTCATCGTGAACCCTCTACCAGCTAAGATCGAGGCCAGCCAATTACCCTGTAAAAATTATTGGTGGGGTTATGCAACTTCGTAACAATTTGAGTAGAGTTTTACAAACTTTTACTTTAAACATAAGAGCATTGACAACATTCCTTGTATAGACTTTCGAAAATTGAAGTCGAAATTAAGTATTTATTGTCCATTCAGAAATGTTGGTGTTTATTTACAGGTATAAGTTTACAAATCAATTTGCAAAAAGAAAACTAACCATAACTAAAGACAATTGCAGTAATGGTTGAAAGTTACAATGCAAAATAGAATCATAAGAACTTTAAGTGGGTGGGATGCTTGAAATCAATTTTATACGAGGATACCAACAGAGTGAGAAGGTGGAAGAGGACCGAAGGTAGGCAAAGGAGTTGGGTAGAGCAGAGAAGAAAATATAGGAAGAGAGAGAGAGAGCCAAGGGTTACAAGATTAATACAATTTTGATGAGCTGCGTGTTCTGACATAATAAGGATAAAATAATCTTTCATATTCAATAGACTCGTTTACTAACATATTCAAATTGTTTGCATTCTTTTAAAACAAAGATTGTTCTTGACAACCCAAAAGCTTCCCGAAGCTTGGCCGACATAGCAACAGATATGCAGACCGGGTTAATGGAATAATTGTCCCTAAGGTACCCAGGAAAGAAACAGCCATGTTATTTGAATATGTTAGCAAACTGGTGTATTATATGGCGTTATATCATGTGGCATTATATTTGCAGATATGAGTTACACAATTTTATCAGGACATCACATTGTTTGTGGTCCTTAGCGATGTAAAACTTTTTGGGAAATGAAATGATAATGCAATCCTACAAGCTAACCTTTTAGACACTAGTCTTTGTTAGTTTCAATGCCAATGTGATGCTTTTATTAACAATTTTTAATTTAATTTTATGTTTTACTCGTTTTCTGCACAGGGCATAGTAGACAGCTTTGTGGATGCATTGTGGAGAAGGTTCATCAACCCCAACACACCAGCTGTCGTGAGGCAGACAACGGCATCGTATATGGCATCATTTGTTGCGAGAGCTAACTATCTCCCTGCAAGGTATTGATTTCTAGCACTTTGTGGACTTGTTAAAACTAAGTCCAAGTTAACTCGGGCTGTAGTTAAAGGCATTGTTTAACAATGCTAAATCTGAGATGCGTGGCCCTACGTGTTATCAGTGTCTGTGATATGGTGTCATATTGAAGCCCTAACAAAAACTTGCGTGTCAAAATGATCATGAAGTGCCTCAAAAAAGTAAAAAAAATTTTGAGTGACTGGCTTTACCATGCTCATTTTCCCCAATAGACTAGTGTCCCAAGGGAAATACCAAGGGTATCTGCATGGGTCCTTTCAGTTTCAAACTATATCCCCTTGGATGCTGCTAGGAAAGTTCACTCAGACAGTCTAGACCCTGCTTTCACAAAAATACTTGATGCATGTGCATTAATATGGGATAAGTGCCAGTTAGGTTTGAGGTCAACAGCATGAACACAAACTGTTGTGAGGTCAGTTCGGTTGGGCTAAAGGTAGCAATTGATACTGTGATAATAGTTATTTTGTAATGAGCCATGCTTGTGATTGGAACAGAGAACAATTAACTAACTACATACATGTATAAGTACTCTATGGTTTTATACTGAGGGCATTGAAAAACTACTTTCAAGTAAGGCTATTTTATATCTTTGTGTATCATATATGACAGCTATATTTGATATATTCTAATTGTGGTTTAATTTATGGTATCTCTAATATGAAGATGTGCTGGTATTTGGTGAGCTGTTGCATACCCTACAACTCTTGCTTTGTGTACGGCACAGACAGTAATCTGCAATGACATATGTATTCTGTTTCTTTCCCTCGTAAAGAAATGGTAGTGGAATTGCAGACACGGTTGTTCCCTCATCAATAAGAGATTTTGGGAAGAGAATTGATAGGAATACATCAATGCTCCGACTGTACAAGCTAAGAACTGAACTCTGGGGAGTTTTCAAGAACATGTACTGTTTATCTGTATACTGTATTTGCTGGCGTAAAGGCCGCAGTATTTTTGGAAGAGAAAATATCAAATAGTCGGGGTGTGGCCTTTGCGGCAAAGAGTAAAAAAAAAAGTAAGTCAAAACCAGCACGAATTTGCACATATGGGGCTACGAACTGTACAATAACTATACCACTATGGTACAGGAAATTTCCACACATCTTACCAACAATTTCATCTTGCATTGTTGACATGAAGAGGAAAATAAACTTCCAAAAACAACATCTGCCGATAGATCTTGATCTAAGTTTGTGCCAATGCATTGCAAAAGTAAAAGAAGGGCCCGTTTAACAAAGCTGCCGCGAAGCATCCAACACGCGAAGTCGCAATTTTGAATCCATTTCAATATATACACAAGAGAAAACTGCGAAGGATAGCACCAGGGCCGGGATGGCCGAGCTGTCTAAGGCGGTGATTTGGGTCATAACAACATTTGTAGGGGAGGGTTCATATCCCGCCTCCGACATTTTTTTTTTTTTTTTTTTTTTTAAATGTCAAAATCGGGGGTGCAGCCTTATCGCCAGCAAATACGGTACACAAAATGTAATGGGGTTATATAAGAAGTCATGGTAATATTCTAACAATTAACTATACATGTTTACTGAGGGCATCCAAAAACTACTTTCAAGTAAACCCATTTTCTATTTTTGTGTATCATATATGACGGCTTTATTTGTTATATTCTCATTGGAATGTATGACAGCACTGTGAATGCATGCCTGGACCTCATGGTGAGCTGGATTCACTGTTACATCAACAACCAAGAGAGCGCTTCACGGTTTAGCAAAGAGGTCAAGGTCCACGGTCCTTTCTACTCGCTATGTCAGGTACTCTTTCTTCTACCCCAGACTGACAACAGACTGAACAAAAAATACATTACCAGGGGGTGTTTCACAAAGATCCTAAGTCGAACTTAACTCCAAGTTGGACTTAATAATTATGGAAAGCCGTTAGCATCTTTGAAAATATTTTGTAAAAGTTATTGTAAGAGGCATAAAATGTTGATTCAAGTCATTCATATTTTCTATTATCAAGGAGATTTCATGTTCTTGATGTGGAACTTATGAAAAGTCTAAAATACTTAAACTTTTGCTTTGAATATATTTTATTTCAAGGCTACAAATGGCTCTCCATAATGTTTAAGTCCAACTTAGAGTTAAGTAGGCTTGAGTTGGTACGGTCCATCACACCGGGACCCGACCGTTGCCGTCGAATCCCGGTTTCGTTTTTTTTTAAAACCTACGCTCCGAAAAAATAGGAAATATGTAAGAAATTGCAGTTTTGCACACCATTAAAATCAATCTACCTTAAAAATTAAGTATTAAATTGTTACCAATCATATTCCAGCTCATCCTGAAACAATCCGAACTGCTGATATAAATATGGGTTGCAAAGCAATTCGCCCCATGGGGTTGTTGTTGCCAACGGCAGGATTAATAAATCAGGTTGAAAGAAACATTAATGTGTGAATAATAAAAACGGCTTTCTAAAAAGTACTTCTTTACAACATACCGATCAAATAATTTTTAAAAGACAAAATAGATATTTTTTCTTTGATTTTGAACACCGCATGCTTCTTTTAAAAGCTGAAAATTACTTGGTAATCACAAGAAGTTTCGATACGGATAGCTGTTACAAGGCAAGTTCAGACTAGTCTCAGAAAAATGTGCAGTGCTCCTCGTTATATAGCTGTAATGCATGCCAGAACGAACCCAAACAAAGACGTGATCGTAACAAGAAAAAAATCATTAAAAACTACGAGAGCACAATTGGAAAGACAACTACTTAAAATTATTGTAAACAGATACATAACTTGGAGGAAGAATAGAATAGTTGTCCAAGAAAATCCACAGAAATAGTGATATTTAAGGAGTTACTATAGGTACAATTACTATCGGAATGGGCCTGCTGCTCTAAATTACACGTGTTTTAATTGAAAACGAGGCTAGAAACTAAATACCACCCTCTACGGTAAAAGCAGTATAACAAAGGATTCAAGTATTTGCAGCTGGTCCCTTGCGATAAAAATGTACCCAGTTACTCCTCGATTATCACCATTTCTGTGGCATTTCTTGGGCGATTATTGAATTCTTTGTCCAAGTAGTGTATCTGATTATGGTAATTTTGAGCAGTAGTTGTCTTTTCAATTGTGCTCTCGTAGTTTTTAATGATTTCTTGTTACGATCAAGTATATTTGTTCGGGTTCGGTCTGGCACGCATTATAGCTAACGAGGTGCACTGCGCATTTTTCTGTGACTAGTCTGAACTTGCCTTGCAACAGCTATCCGTATCGAAACTTCTTGTGATTACCAAGTAATTTTTAGCTTTTAAAAAAAAGCATGTGATGTTTAAAATAAGAGATAAATATTTATTTTGTCTTTAAAAATTATTTGATCGGTATGTTGTAAAGAAGAATTTTTTAGAAAGCCGTTTTATTATTCTAACATTTATATTTTTTTACCCGATTTATTCAACCTGCATGAATCAAAATGGCGGCTCGAATGTTGTCTTTCTATTTTTGCTTCAGTTTTTTTACTTTTAGAGGCACGATAATGGCACTATACATCGCCGATCATGGATGAAAATAATGTCAAATGGATGAATATACCGATCTGTGCCCAGGTATGCATGTGTTGATTTATTCAACTGATAAAAAAGGTCACTTTTAAGGGACATACTGATGATATGCACTTTTTCTAGGCAAGTGACAAATCATGCGAGCCAAATTCGGGACACTGGGTCCCGATCGGTGCAAGGCCGTCGGGACCCGGTTTATGAAAATCCCGACATGACTCAGGCCTAGAGCTAAGTTCCACTTAGGATCTTTGTGAAACACCCCCTGACCAATTACACACAAACAAAAAGTACACAACCCCTGAATGGCCAAGAATTGGACGGCTTTGACTCAGTTTGGAGTGGGTCTGGCAGTGTGTGACTCGGGTTTTCACCAAAAAATAAAACAGAACATGACAGAGGGCCCTTTGATGTGATTATTGTTTAATAATTGAGGTTTAATTTATGGTTTCTCTGATATGAAGAAGTGCTGGTAATTGGTGAGCTCTTGCATACCTCACAGGTTTCTTCAAAAGTAATTAATTTTTACTGATTTCAGTTTAACTTATGGTATCTCTGAAATGAATATGTGCTGGTATTTGATGAGCTGTTGCTTTACTCCCAGGGTCTCTCAAATGTAATTAATTTTTACTAATTGTGGTTTAATTTATGGTTTCTCTGATATGAAGAAGTGCTGGTAATTGGTGAGCTCTTGCATACCTCACAGGTTTCTTCAAAAGTAATTAATTTTTACTGATTTCAGTTAAACTTATGGTATCTCTGAAATGAATATGTGCTGGTAGTTGATGAGCTGTTGCTTTACTCCCAGGGTCTCTCAAATGTAATTAATTTTTACTAATTGTGGTTTAATTTATGGTTTCTCTGATATGAAGAAGTGCTGGTAATTGGTGAGCTCTTGCATACCTCACAGGTTTCTTCAAAAGTAATTTATTTTTACTGATTTCAGTATAATGTATGGTATCTCTGAAATGAATATGTGCTGGTATTTGATGAGCTGTTGCTTTACTCCCAGGGTCTCTCAAATGTAATTAATTTTTACTAATTGTGGTTTTATTTATGGTTTCTCTGATATGAAGAAGTGCTGGTAATTGGTGAGCTCTTGCATACCTCACAGGGTTCTTCAAAAGTAATTAATTTTTACCGATTTCAGTTTAATTTATGGTATCTCTGAAATGAATACGTGCTGGTATTTGATGAGCTGTTGCTTTACTCCCAAGGTCTCTCAAATGTAATTCATTTTTACTAGTTGTGGTTTAATTTATGGTTTCTCTGATATGAAGAAGTGCTGGTAATTGATGAGCTGTTGCTTTACTCCCATGGTCTCTCAAATGTAATTAATTTTTACTAACTGTGGTTTAATTTATGGTATCTCTAATATATGAAGATGTGCTGGTATTTGGTGAGCTGTTGCATACCCTACAACTCTTGCTTTGTGTACGGCACAGACAGTAATATGCAATGACATTTGTATTCTGTTTCTTTCCCTCATAAAGAAATAGTAGTGGAATTGCAGACACAGTAATTCCCTTATCAATAAGAGATTTTGGGAAGAGAAATTGATGGGAATCAATGCTCTGGCTGTACAAACTAAGAAATGAACCCTAGGGAGTTTTCAATAACATGTACTGTTTATCTGTATACACAAAATATTAAGGGGTTATGTAAAAAGTCATGGTAATATGTAATCATTATAAAATGTGATGTGGAAGACCAAGAGCCTTGGGCAACTACAGTCAAACCTGCTTTAGTGACCACCTGTATAGAACAGATTACTTGTCTCCGAAGACCATATTTATATTTCCCTTGAAAATGGTTTCTCATTGAAACATGTACTTAAGGAGTCTGTACATAAAGACCACCTGCCTATAAAGACCACTTTCTTGTCTCCCTTGGGTTGTCTTTACAGACAGGTTTCACTGTACAACAAAAGAAAGTAATTTATTTTTATGAAGTGCATTCTATTGATCAGATGTAGATGTTAGTTATTCACAATCCGAATGTAAATTCCCTTAGCCCCACATTTATATGAAAACAAAAATAATCACATTTTATCAGGGATGCTAGTTTTCAGAAATTTTGCCTGAATTCAGGGCCTTGCATCTGCCTGTTTCAGGCTTTTCAATGCCAGATGCTGTTTCAGGCTATCTGGGCAACACTAATTGGCATCCTCTTTGATACATCTCTAGCTTTAGTTTGGCATTTGATGAGAGGGGAAAAAAAGATTTGAAAAAACAAAAAGAAAGTGCAAACAAAAAGGAAAAAAACTTTTCAGGTTAACTGTGCTCTTGTTTCATTGGCCAAAATTTGAAGTATGTTTGGCCTTATATCAAGCACTGGGTAGACAAGTGGTTCCTCACTGTCCACAATACACTGGCAAAGTTTAATTGTGCCAAAATTGCCATCTAACATTTTCATTTAGTTGAACATTTTGAAATCCAATGTAAAGTTTATTGGAAAATTGTTCTTGTTGGATTGTGGGAGAATTTTCACTCTAGAACTCATCTTCCACCTCTCTCCTCTTCAGGCTGTTCTCTACATCTTTGTCTATCGTCACAAGCAGCTCTTAGAGAATAACAAAGGTCTTCACTACATCATGAGCCTCAACTTGGAGCGGGTCGTCACCTGCCGTCTGAACCCCCTCAAGGTGTGCCTGCCCTCTGTTGTCAACATCTTTGCAACTCTTGCGAGGTGAGTGCTTACTGTACTCCATGAGCCGTCTTAATTTAACAAGAGTTTCAATTATTTATCTTCATGGCTCCTCTCCGCCCAAGTGCTGAATGGGTACCCAGTAGAAGGTCAATGTCATTTCATTTCATTTCATTTATTTCATTCTCCATAAACAAAACTAAAACATACAAACATGACACATTTTGTATACAGATAAAATATCGAATACAAGAAAAATACAAAGGGAAGGAGCAAACACAATTTTATGGGAATGTGGGGTTAACAAAAAGAGCAATTAGCCTTATGAACGTCAACCCCTTAATGTGATTGCACTAGGGTCAATAGCTGGAATGCTCCCTAAGGAGTGGAGAATGTGTGATGTAATGTGCAGAATAATAATTTAATCCAGTGACTGAGGTAATAATAATCCTGTAGAGCATATTGGTTGGTTGTAACTGGTAAATCGGTTTATTCGAAACAGTTTTTATTATTACAAGAGGGCTGAAAAGTTTCAGACTTAATGGAGCATGTGGAACCAGCGGTAAGTTTGCGAAATGAGATGTTGTTTACAGCAGCTCTAGTGCAATTTTCTTGGTTTTTTTTTTTTTTTCAGTGCTAATCCACTCCCATGAATTTTATTCAAATTTTTGTTGTTGTTGTATCAAGATGTAATATCAATCAGGGCAACATCCTGTATATAAATGCATGTTCATGCTATAAACGCATTTTCATGCTATAAACATAAAGCAAGTGCTTGTGTATGGGTTTTTGAATTATTTATGACTATGTTGATGATCATAGTTTCATTATCCCTTTATTTTTTTTACATTAGATAATGTTCAAATGATACTTGCAATTTTGGGTGGTTTATGAAACGTCATTGTCTAGCATCAGCATTTCATTTACTAAAATGAATACATATGACAAATATTTGCTATATATTTTACACCAATTTTACCTAGCTATATTACTTTTATGTTTTTTAGGAAATTCCAAGTGGCCTTTTGTTACACAGTGATGGAGCACAATGCCCGTTCCAAGCTGCCTGTTTTCAAACTCAACACATTTGGTTCAGGTGCCATGGCAACGCCAGGAAACCCTCTGGACTCTTTCTTCCCATTTGATCCTTACGTCCTCCCCCAGTAAGTAGCGTTACCTTTTTTCTTCAAATTTTTTTTTTTTTTTCCTCCACTTTATTTTTTCAGTCCTGATAAAAACCCGATTTAAATCGGTTTCCCCAATTTTTTTTTCCTTACCGATTTTATCCAGATTTTCCTGATTTTTCCCTATTATTTCCCAATTTTTCTTCCTCAAAAAGGGGGGAATGTTGTTAGATGCCATTTTTCCCCAAATCCCTCCTTTCTTTTTGCTCAAGGGGGGCGTGGTTGAGGGGGGGGTGAGGGAAAAAACCTTTCTTTTCCTTTTTTTAGTGCTCACTATCGCCCCTGTTTTTTACCATTTTAAAATTAATTAGAGACGTTCTAAAGCTTTCTGTCACACAGTCATCAGAGCAAACTATGAGTGATAGACACAAAGCTTCATCAATATCTATTGCATTTCATTTGTCGTATTTGTAACATCAATCATCCTTTTATTTTGATTTGAATTTAAAAACTTTTATTTAACACAAAGTAGTCTCTTTCTCTTAGCGATCTTAAGTTCTTTCACTGCATTGTAAAAATTTGTGCCTCGTTTGTCTTTATTTTCCTTAGATCTGGTGTTGACATTGAAAAACTATACAGACATTGGGAAGGATGTAAGCCCGACTTCTCAGGCTTAGAGCCAGCTGTAAGTTTGAACTTGATTGTAATTCTCTTAGTAGTTATTATTTATTTCTTCCTCCAAATGAATTCAGTTAAAAACAAAGAATGCAGTTGCTTGCACATCATAGACTCTGTCAATTTGTAATAAGCTTGAAAGCTGTTCCTTGAAATTTGATTATAATGTATTTTTATGTAACTAAATGGGCACCAGCACTTTGAATTTTATGTGTGGAACATTAAATTGTAGAGGAGGTGCGTCATCGTGAAATAGGAAAACCACCATTGGCTCCGCACTGTATTGCCTTGTTTTGTCACAGGCATTGCTCTCTTCTGTCTCGCTCCTTAGGCTCTACACACAGGAGTGTATGTGCAGACGAACAAGTGGTTTTCAAAACCAAAATATAGCTGGGTAGTGATAAATAATGTAGCTTTAGACAGTACTGGGCGGTGTTTCACAAAAATACCAAGTTGAACTTATCTCTAAGTTGAACTTAAGAATTATGGAAAGCCATTAGCATCTATGAAAATATTTTTGTTAAAGTTATTTTAAAAGGCATAAAATGTTGATTCAAACCATTCATATTTTCTATTATCAAGGAGATTTCATGTTCTTTATGTGGAGTTTAAAAAAAGTCCAAAATACTTGATATTTCACTTTTGAATATATTTCATTTTAAGGCAACAAATGGCTCTCCATAATTTTTAAGTCCAACTTGGACTTTAGTTTGACATTTGTGAAACACCCCCCTGGTAACATTAAAAAAAAAAGAAAAGAAAACAAAATGACAAACCTTAAGAAAGAAGATGGTAGGTGTATGTGGAGTGAGTTGGTGCTTGTTTCTATGTGTGTGGGTGGGTGTGTTTGTGTGAACAAAAATCTGATAATGTACACCTGGAGACACCTGACCGTAATCAACACCGTTCAAAACAATCACGGCTCGAGGTCAATTCCTGGATCTGTGTAACAGACAGACCAGTCTGCCCTTGATGACCAGACTATAACACTCATATCTCTCTATGAAACGACCAGCAACATTAGTTGACCCTCCTGTGGAATTTTCTTACAAGGCGAGTGGAATACTACACCTCGGCCCATATTGGTGGTGGAGGCGGTATTCCAGTGAAAAAAATACATGGGGGCTCAGGGCGAAATAGCCCCCTAAATGCCCAAAAGAGCCCCCGAAAATCAGAAAAGAGCCCCCTTAAATTTGCATAGAGTTCAATGCAAAACAAATTTTAGAATGTTATTTTCATGCAGGCAGGGTTGAAAAGTAGCCAAAATAAATGTTAATTTTTTCCCTGTGGTATTCAAGTGTCTCTGCCTCATTTTTTCACGGAATATTGAATTGGTTGTGTAAAACATATTCTTGAGACAATTTATACAGCTCACGATTTATAACAAGCAAATTATTTAAGGGCAAGTCCAAGCTATTTTTTCCTATATGTTACCAACGGCATCTAAGATTTCGGTACATATCTGATGGCTGCGTCAAGCTGACAGCCATTCCAAAGGTTTTGTCGGACAAAACATCAAATAAAATGATATATTCTATGTCAATTTATGTCCACAGTTCCATAATCCAACTCAATAATACTTGGTTACATACAACGAAAAAAATACACGGTGGCGACGGGCGATTCGCCCTCTAAACCTCTGAAATCGCCACGGTAAAAATCAAGACGAGGGCGAAAAAAAATCAATATATCTTGAAAAATCGCCCCCGCCATAAATTGATATTCCCTATGAATTAATAAACCAATTTATTGATGTGTCTGAGTGAAATCTCCGTTCCAACTACCAACTCCAAAACTAGAAACTTCCATCAACATTTTAAAAGTTGTGTGAGTTGCAGCGGATCGGCGGTCGTACCTACTGTAACTAGATCTACAGCGGTATCCGCCTGCCTGCGCCTAAGCTCCCGGCGGCCGGACAGGCCACCGGCCCCGATGTAGTTTCGTGCACAGTATGAATGCATACGCAGTTCGCACACGTTCACAATACACAGAAACGTACTAGCTAAGCTCCAGTGCGCGCCCGCACGCTCCTTGTATGAAGCAAATAAGTATTTGCGAGTGACGAGAGCTCAACTGCTAGCGACCAAATTGGTACGTAATATGTTTATTTAGTCTTTTTTCTGGCCCTAATTTTTATCATGGACAATGCAATCCCATTAAAAAAATGTTATTCCGTCTAAAATTGTGTTATTTATAAGTTAAAACCATTAAATGCGAGTATATTTTTACTGTTGTCCCACATATTGATATATTTGTAATAACGAAACGTGCAAAATCAATGCCAGATTTTTTCCTGTAAAATCGGTATAAAGCAAGTTTCGTACACAGAAATTGAATTTTGTTATAAAAAACCGTAAATAAATATATAAAGGATGTTCCTACTCCTCAGAATCTTTCTTACAGCTGTTTAATTAAATTAAATTATTTATATACGATCGATGCCAGGCCAATTGTCATGAGTGATGATGACATCAATTTCTGTCTACGAAATGAAACTAGCTTTGGCTTGGCCTTTAGAATTAGAGTCTATAAAAAAAAATAAGGCCATGATTTTGCATGTTTCGGCATAACAAATAGATCCTACATCGGTATGTGGGACAACAGTAAAAATATTTACTCACATTTAATGGTTATAAATGGTCTAAATAACACAATTTTAAAGGGAGTTGGTCTACTTTTTTTTTTAATGGGATTGCATTGTCCATGATAACAATTAAATTTGGGACAGAAAAAAAGACTAAATAACATATTACCTACCAATTTGGTCGCTAGTAGTATGATGGCTAAGGAAAAACACAACTTATTGTTACAGCTTACAATATGGCTTTAAGGAAGTAGCCCCTTGGTTTTTTTTAGGCAATGGGGAAAAGTAGCCCCCATAAAAAAATTAATTCCTAGCCCGCGTGTCAGTGATAATATTTTCTTAGGATATGAAAAACAAACAGTTAAACAAAACACTCCTTTTGACAAGTTTTAGTTACATGTATATGTAAATCATAAAGCCACACGTTTAACACAAAGTGAATAAATCATGGGTAAATGAATGTCTGCAATACTCTACATGACATATGTACGCTACAATTGTATCTATATTTGCCTTTGCTTGGAATTTAATTAGGTAAAACCGCGTTTAAAAAAAATACAACCTTTAAAAAAAAAAAGCCCCCCTGAGCTCCAAAATAGCCACCGCAAAATAATTAAGGGGGGCTATTTTTTTAAGGGAAAATCTGAAAAGAGCCCTCGTAAAAAAAAAGTAATTGCACTTGCCCATACTATAGAAAGAAATAAACATGTAAGTAAAAAACCCACCTTCCTTGAAACAGTCCAAGTTGAATGAACTGTATTGGTGTTTACAAACTTGATTTGACAGAATATTTCCTAGACCCACGTATGTTATGTGAGTTAAGGTTTCACAACTTCTCTGCAGTATCTCTATTGAATTACTCTGTGTAATAAAATTAATGACATATTGTATAGATGATGTCAGTTTATCTGTCATAGACTTGTAGTCTTCAGGTATAAACATCACTTTATTCACAGCTTTTATGCAGGTGTGGATGACATTCATCCCTTATGAATTCACTTGGTATTAGTTTCTATTCTGACTTAGGTTTTTGTGCTGGTATTTGGTGAGCTGTTGAATACCCCACAACTCTTGCTTTGTGTACGGCACAGATAGTAATATGCAAATATCACTTTGCTGTTTCTTTTCTTCATAGAGAAATAATTGTGGTATTGCAGACATGGTTTTCTGGAATCAGAATAATATTATGATTACTTTGCACCAATATTGTTTTTTTCATGGAATTTTTTTTGGTTCTCTACCTATTTATTTGATGTAAGACTTAAACAGGCCAGATATTTTTCTCATACTCATAATGAAAAAATTGCCATTTGTTTCATAATATTAGGGGAATGGGTGCCAGATTTGTTCCCCTATACGATTTACATATAGTTAGGCCTAAGTAATTTTCATGACTGTTTTATTGTTGGAATGAGAAAGTTGATTTTTAACACAATTTTAAAGTCATTTTTTTGTTACCTCCCTTATTCTCTACATCTCTTGTGTTGTTTTTTTCTTTCTTTCTCTTGTTTTCTCCTCCTATCATTCTCTTGGTATTCTGCCTCTGTCTTTTGGTTTCTCCCACTTTTTCTCTGTCTTCTCCTTTCCTGTCTTTCATTCTCTTTAACATACATCTCTCTCTCTCTCTCTTCCTCCCATCTCTCTCTCTCTCCTCTCTCTTCCTCCCCATCTCTCTCTCTCTCTCTCTCTCTCTTCCTCCCCATCTCTCTCTCTCTCTCTCTCTCTCTCTCTTCCTCCCCATCTCTCTCTCCCTCTTCCTCCCATCTCTCTCTCTCTCTCTCTCTCTCTCTTCCTCCCATCTCTCTCTCTCTCTCTCTCTCTCTCTCTCTTCTTCCCATCTCTCTCTCTCTCTCTCTCACTTCCTCCCCATCTCTCTCTCTCTCTCTTTCTTCCTCCCATCTCTCTCTCTCTCCCTCCCTCCCATCTCTTTCTCTCTCTCTCTTCCTCCCATCTCTCTCTCTCTCTCTTCCTCCCCATCTCTCTCTCTCTCTCTCTCTCTCTCTCTCTCTTCCTCCCATCTCTCTCTCTCTCTCTTTCTCCCCCTCTTCTCCCCCTTCTCTCTCTTTCTCTCTCACTTCTTCTTCTTCACACAGGTGGATGATTCTGAAGACGAGGAGGAGTTCATGCAGTATGAATCCGTCGACAAAGATATACCCCTCGGTCTCACACCAACCAGTGCAGCTTGCATCTCTCCGGGATTCCGATCACCCTCTTCATTCGGAAGATGAAACCAAGAAGAACGTTTCACCTTTTTTATTCCTCGGTAAAACCCCAATGCCTAATTCTGATTCCGACTAGCATCTCTTGCATTTCATCAGGGAGCAGAACACCGGAAGATCAAACTGAAAATGACATTTTATTGTTGGACAGTATCCTTGAAATACGTCTTGGTTTTAATCCTACCACTCTGGCTGGCTTGCCACTTACCAGACTTCACATGTGGTTGGTTGGTTGGTTGTTATTTTTTTACCTGACTGCTAAGAAAGCATAAATGCTTGTAAGTAAGCAACCAGACGGCCGACGCCTTTAGGTCCTCTCCGAGGGACCTGGTAAAGAGGATTAATGCCTTACCAAAGGGCACTAGCGCATCGACTTGGTTTTGAACCTGGGTCACCGGATTACAAGACCACTGCTCTACTGACTGAGCTATCACGCCTCCTCATTGAAGATGAAGCCACAAGGAATGTTCAGCATTTGTATGTATTCCCAAACAATCCTGTGACGTACCCCTTCACACAAGAGATCAGTCAGTGACGATTGAACATTTTGTATACCAGGAAAGCCAGAGTTGACTGCTTTGTATGGATAACAATTTAGGGAACTTCCAGGGGTATTATGCAATGTTAATGATGAAAACTTTGTAATGCACAGAAGATGAGAGTGGCTTGGGTTGTCCATTCTCCTATTTTCCAATTTTGACAAATAGCATGCCTTTATGTTGAATATGAATGGATGGCTTCGGTTTGGAAAATCAATGCATTTGGGTCTTCTGGTTCTTCAAATAGCAGCCGTTTGCCCGGGTCAGGTCCATGAAATTGGGCCTGAGTTATACAGAGAAAGTAGCAGTAGGTTGCTTTGATGCTCTAAATCAATGCATACTGCACCATCAGTGAAAGTTTGCATAAAGCAGTCTCACAATTAATTCAGTTCATTTATTTATTTGTTGTATTAAACATACATCAAAAGGTAAAGTCATACAATAATTAAAAGAAACATAACAAGGGAAGCTGCAAAAAAGCGGTGTGCTTTGAAAGGTGTGAGCCCTGCTAAAAGGAACATGTGATGTGCAAGTCAATAGTGGTTCAAAGATAATTCATGTAGTGATAATACATGTGTACAAACACAATGGGGTTATACTGGAAATCATCATGTGAGCTAGTTTCTTGCAGATTGAGGATGGTCTTTTCTTGATCATTTTAATAGCACTTGTGCTGCTCCTTTTTACTTCCTGGTTTTTGAAGAAAAAAAAACTATATTTTGTGCAATATTATGACCTGGTAAATGTGATCATTCGGTAATGAAGAAACTGAAGTACTATTTTTAGTTGTGTAATAACTGTATCATCTTGTGTACTGGTACATACAATTTAACTTGATTACATTTTAATATTTTTGTGAACAAGTTGCCCATATGGTCTTCATAATAAGAACATTATTCCTCTTACCCATAACGAAAAAAACAATTAATCTGTTCAATTCTACAATAGCAGCACTTATCAATTGAGGAAGTGGGTTAAGTTAATAACAATGTTTTTTCATAGCTTGTGGTTCTTTCACTAATTTCAAAGGTCTTTTTAGCTGTTGCCAAAGAAGAGCCTTTAAAATTCATTTTACCTTTGGTTGTATCATATCATTGCAGTTGAGATTCAGTATTAGATATTGGAACTCTATGCTCCAATGATATTTTCTTCTAAGCTTTTAAACAACAATTTGGTTACTTTCTTCGCCTCTGTGCAACCCTCTTATCAGCAGTATAGATAGATCTTGCACTTGGAACAGTCAGATAATCGTGAAGCCTTTGTTATATCTATCCCTTGATGAATACAATGAGGTACATTGATATTATTTTTGTGGCATAAAAGGATTTGTAAGTTTAATCTAACCACTTCAGGAATGACCAAATCATGGTGAAGGTAAAGAAATATATATACTGTATTGATAGAAATATGAGACAAGAATCAAATACCAGTAATGTAAAATAAAATAAAATAAAATAAAATTGTTGATGTAAATCTGATTAAGTTTCCTTGCCCCCATCCATTAATATGGTCAAGATAATGTCCATGTTCATGGGTGTCGATCCTTACGTAATACCTATTCATCAGGGGGGATGAATGAATAGATCATCCCCCCCCCCCCCCAGGTATCAATGACAGATCGACACCCATGTCCATGTTAAATTAGTTTGTAATCCTTTCCCAAATGCAATAGCTGTTTCAGCATGTTTTTTTTTTCTTTTGTTACCCAGGGAAAGCTAGAGCCTTTATTTCATTCCATGCTCTAAGCAAGATTACATTAGAATTGAACATATGCTTTGAAGCCTGACTGATCTACTTATAGCTACTTATGCCCTCTTTATAGCAAACAATGCCTTAGCGGTCACTATTGGTCTCCCATGGTCCCCTTTTTCTTCTGTTAATTGAGAGCTGATTTGATGAGATAATCGCCTGTCAGTAACCATGCAGGGAGGTCTAATCCCTCCTGGCCAAACTAGTGCAGATAGGCTTCAAGCTGTCGCTGAACAAATGGAACTCTGTACTACAATAAGCACTACCAGTTAGAATATTTCATGTATTGTTTCTTATTAAGAAAATTAATTTAACATTGTGGCCAACATTTTTTCATGGTAAATTGAATTTAGAATAAAATTTAGGTTGGGAATACATTATATGTAATCAATTATGTGTATGTATTTGCAGAATCGTCCTGCACTATATAGATGGTATTTTTTTTGTTTAAACCCATTTATCCAACATTATTTTGGAGTATTATATTCTTTGTATATGATGTACACGATACATTGTTAATAAAAATGTGAAATATAGTAGATTAAGATAACTACCTGTATTGCTGTCTGATTTATTAAGAATATGACATTTTCGTAATTTAATCAAATTTAATTTGATACAAGTGCCTTGTTACAAATGACTTCATGCATCTGTTACGAATAATTGTATTTTAATAGTCAGAATGCAAATTGCATATATTACGTGTTGTTAGGTAGGACAAGCCATAACGTTGTCCTACCTAGCAGCAATTAATGTATGCAATCTGATTCTGACTATTAAAATAGTCACAATTAGGTCAATTAAATAATTTTTATCGAGGCACTTAACAAAGATTTGTGCATTTAAATTTGATTATATTACAAAAGTGGTCTATTTGACTACTTTGGTAATGTTGATAGATTATTTATTTAGTTGTGGTGCGAAGGCTCAGTGGTGTAGCAATGGTCCTGTAACTGGGAGGTCCCGGGTTCAAATCCAAGTCGATGCACTAGTGCCCTTTGACAAAGCAGTAAACCTAGTTTTACTAACGCCTGGTTATCTCGGCCCTATATGTCTTATACCGGTAACCTGTGATGCATGGCAAACTTATACACTTCAGGAAAGATCTGGCATATTTTTCTTTTTACCAGTAATCAAAACATTTCCTTCATTTCTCATTGGCATATGTTCCTCTCTCTCGTTCTATATTGATCACTTATTCTCTTACCATCTTTGAAATCATGATCTTTTCTTCTGTTTCCCTCTCTCTTCATTTCTACCATCTTTGCATAGAAGATTACTAAAGGTACTATGTCCCATTTGCAGGCCAAAAAAATGAAAAGATTAAATTCCAATGGCATTTGAAAAATAATGCTAGTAATTTTGAACTTCCCTCGGTACAAAAGGGCTTGACGTTGTTTGGTGGGAAAATAAAGACCATTAGTTGTCGAAGCAAATATAGCGATCGCGGTCGTTTAATTAGATTTTAAGACCCTTGTACTTAATAGCCAATTAACAATAAATGGGTCTCTGGCAGAAAATTGCAAAAATGATAGAACAAAAATGGGGGGGGGGATCTCAAAAATGAGACTACAGTTTATATCCAGAGCTAGATCCTCCTTGTTTCCTATTCTTTGTTTTCACTTTTAAACAAGAATAGGCCGATCTCATATATGTACATGGTAATTAAAATGCGATTGGTAACTTCTCTAATTCTGCATTTTTTAAATCATATGTTCTAACGGTTAAATGAATATGCCCATCCAAGCGTGCAAGTTCAAAACTGGATATTAATTGATGTTGGTAGAGCATAAATGTTCCTTTAAAGGTAATAATCCCATTTGCAGGCCAAGCAATGAAAAGATTAAATTCCAATGGCATTTGAAAGATAATACTAATTCAGAACTTCCCTCAAAACAAAAGGGCTTGAAAATATCTTTTAGTGGGGAAAAAACGAGCATATTAGTTGTCGAATCCACTTTAGTGATTGCAATCATTTTAGTATTTTAGTCTAGTGTTCAGACCTTTGTACCGAATGTTCGTACATTCTGTGCTGCGCAAAGATTCAATCAGTTTAATTTTGGCAATTACAAGAAGTGGGTTATTGATGTAGACAAATGTAGATGTACCCTTTACAGCTCATTTATGTATGATATTACCAAAAGCAAAACAAAAAGTCAGTCAGTCACTCAGTAGTGTCTGACAGTAAAGTCTAGAAAGTAAACGGGTTCATTGCATAATCTAAGTACTAGGACACTGCTAACGTTTAAATTTCACAGATAGGACATACGCGACATATTCATAATTCCTTGAAAGTTCTACAGAATTCAATGTTGGCTGCAAATGGGACATAGTACCTTTAATATTATATTTTATTATATTTTCTTGACGATTCATATGAAAATTTTACACCATAAAGAGTTTCCACTTTTCTTTTTTCCCTTCTTTTTGCTGAGTGTATTTGATTTGCTTGCTATGTGCATTGTCTGTTTCTTGGGGACCTCCTTGGGGACCAAGGCTTTCCATCTACTTCTATCACTTAGCACTGGTATTTTGCAATGTGACGTTGCTTCTGGTACCAGTCTGCTCAACAAACTTATCTATGTATTCGATGCGCAGTCTTCGGCCCTCTGCTTCTCTCTCCCTTCATGTCAGTTTCCTTGTTTTGTGTGGCTTCTCTTCTCACAATATGCCCAACAAACTGAAGTTGTCTTTTCTTTGTGATGAGTGTATTTACTAGGTCCAAAATCACGTGGGTACACACAACGATGCATAACCTAAGGTGTATTTGGTCAATGTAAAGTATCGTGCTGTGGTACCAAATAATAGAAATACATGTTTACCGTTACACGAGCACATTCAATAAGCGAGCTGAATGCGAATATCGAATGAATCATTATATGAATAAGTGCCAGAGTAGTAAAGGACCAGCATTAATGATAGGCTAAATTCTCAAAGGTACACCAATAGTGTAGAAAATATGAATGTTTTTTAAACCAATTTTCTCCAAGCGCATTACCCTCGTTAGAAATTGTACCAGAAATGTCAGA